TATATGTATATGTATTTAAATTTGTAGAATTAAATCTGAAGATTTCTCTTGCCTTCCAGAATGTGAATATTTTATATATATTCTATGAAAGACAATCTTCTTTGAGAATATAAAGTGAATGTACCCTAGGTATGTACAAGTGTTTTTGATGGTGGTAGTGATGGTGAGGATGATGATGGAATGAGAGTATTGATTTTTTTTTAATAAAAACATTTCTATTAACTGGTCTCTAAGTCTGTGTGTGTGTGTGTGTGTGTGTGTGTGTGTGTTACCATTTTCAAAAGACAAATTTCGCATTATATGAGTTTTAAATAGATTGACATTACCTTTTTGTATTTGCTGCTACTAGATGTCAACTCTCCAGTATTGCAAAATAAAATATGCTCCAAAAACCAAACCCCTGGAATTTGTGATGTTTCCTTTCTCTGGCTGTGCTGGTTCCCCACAAAGACTCTTATAGCTTATGACACTTGCCCAGTGTATGGAGAGCACAGTTAATTTCACTTCAGAGTAAAAGAAATTCAGTGTGTGTACTATACACAGAATATAGACACACAAACATGAGTTGTTTAATTTGGCAAAGTCTCAAAGAATCTTCTAGAATTTCCCTGCCTTCATTCTCCTTCTGGTTGGTTTCTCCTCTAAGATTAATTATCTAGATAAATCTTCTTGTTTGCTTGATTACTTTATGGAAGTGAGTTCTTAATAGAGTAGGCTGAGCTCTTTATCTCACATCCAGAAATCCCTGAAAAATCCAGTCAGACTCTCTCTCTCTGAATCAGGACTCCTGCCTTGGTTGTGAGCCCTGTGGACACAAGCACCCTGGCTCCACTGGTGTCTTCAGGCCTGGTTGGTGGGTGATTCCTGATGAGCTCCCCAGCTTTTCCAGCTGTACTAAGCTGAGGAATATTTGGCACCGTTGATCCCCACAGCCCCCTCCCCCACTCTGAAAATCCCCCGATCCATTTTTTTCTCTCACCTTTTCTAAAGCCATGACAGCCATCAGCGGGGATGGAGTATGCATGTCACGCACATAAATTACAGTCCGCCTCAAGGAGTGAGGCCATTTTAGGAATCGTAAACATAAAAAAAATTAACATCTACTTTTAACCTAAGGTTAGTTCTAGCTCTTGCCAAGCTGGACAATCCTGCAAATCCACAATAATCTCATGGAAGCATGTGGACTTTTTTGGTCATGGTGTTGGGTGTGGGAGGGGGTAGGTATACAGCATCGTATTAAAGACCCATAGACTTGATTCCTAGATAAGCCATTCTGTATTTTTTTTTTATTCCCTTTGGTGTCTACAAAGCTACATCTAAACTGGGACTATTGGCGTTTAGCTTCATGAAACTGATTATGAACAAACCCAGGCAAAAGAGAATAGATGATTGAAAATTTATTCCTACTACTGAAAAAATATTCCTATGATTGAAGCAGGGCCTGGTTGGTACCCCCATAATACAGGAGTAGCAACATCCCCGGCCTCACCTTTCTTTTACCTATATCTTAAGGATAGGTCATCTCTCTTGTAGCTTGAGCTCAGAATGTCCCCTGTTCCACCCAGTTCCCTGCTTTAGCAAATTACCCTGAAATTTATGATTAATACCCTTAGGCTTATTGATCACAATCTCAATGGTCTAGCATTCTTTCCAGGCTACTCCCATGTTGTCCCTGGGTTGCTGACTCCACCAGAGAACCACATTGCCAGAGGGAAGGCGCCATGCAGACCCCCGGAACCCTCACGTAACCACTGGAGGACCCTCCAGATTTTCTCTTAAATACCCAGTCTGTGAATGTTAAGGCATTTTTGGGAGGTGTTAACCTGCTTCCTTCTCAGACCACCAGTGCTCTGATAATAAATGCTTATTCTATAACCCAACTCCTGTGTCAGTCTACTGGCTGAGCGACTCAGCCAGCACCAGCCCTGGACTCGGTTGGCCTCCGGTTTCATCACGATGCACAACAAACAGCTTGAGTTTTGCTTCAGAGACAGATGATCAGTGTCAATTTATGCAGATGTGTGAAAACCACAGGAACACTATTCACCTGACCTCAGGTATGGCCTCTACATAGAGCAGCATTGTCCTTCTTCCTGGGAA